CACACACACCACACACACACACGCACACACACACACACACACACACGCACACACACACACACACACACACAGATGCACAGACATACATGCTGGCACTGGTAATAAAACACACTGTGACCTCTGGGGACACAGAGTGGCCGTCTGCATAGCCACTATTAGTTGACCTTTAAATTAGAAATTAATTTATACATGGCTATAACACAGTAGTGGTCTGAGAAATTTGTTTCTCTTATTTAAACTGACTATTATGCTTATTGCTTTAGAAAACTAATTTAAAATTACAAGTAGACAGATTATGAACTACAACTTGAAAAAGACAACAAAGAAAAACAAGTAGGATGAAGGAAAGAGATCATTGTCCAAAACTTCTAGGATTTTATTTATTTATTTGTATGTATGTGTATGTGTATGTGTTCGTGTATGTGTGCGCATGCTCACATGCATACGTGTGTGAGTGCAGGTGCCAGAAGAGGGCTTGGATTCCCCGAACTGGAGTACAGATGGCTGTGAGCCACACTGTGGGTGTGGGGAATTGAATCATGTGTTTTGGACCAGCCAGAGCTCCTAACCACTGAGCCACCTCGGTTTTCAGCATTTTTACTGTGAGGTGTTCCCTTTCCCGTCATTAGCTGAAAACGTTCCCTCTTTATGAGCAGAAAGTCAACGGACGTTATGATGACAAAGTCTTCACGCTCACACCTGGCTCAGGCTCTTCACTCTCACACCTGGCTCAGGCTCTTCACTCTCACACCCGGCTCAGGCTCTTCACTCTGTAGGCCTGAATCTGGTCTAATGTGCTAAGTCCTTCCAGCTTCCTGGGAAGGAGGGAAAGGAGCCCAAGCAAGCCAGACTCCCCCCACAGCACTTCACTTTCCAACAACAACACAGCGAGGCGTTTCCTGTGAGCAGCACCCTGTGCGGATGTTGCTCAGGTTCTTACACTAAAGATGAGCCTTCAAACCACCTCAGTTTTCAGATGTTGAACCGTCAAAATCCGTGACATCAAATTTTAACGCTTCATATTAGGAACTTGACCCTATCTGTGTTTCTGGATGGGAGGGGGGTATACATCTGAAATCTTAGCACTTGGGGGATGGAGGCAGGGGACCGTGAGTTCAATTCAGCCAAAAGACAATAAAAGCAAACGCTGGTGATGGCACACACCTTTAGTCAGCACTCGGGGGTCAGCAGAGGCAGACTCTGAGCCCAGCCAGCCTGGGCTGCGTAATGAGATCATGTCTCAAACAACAACAAAACCAACCAACAAAACAAAAACAGTATATACAGTTTAAAAACTCTTTTAATAAAAAATACATGTATGGCTCTAATGTCAAGGGAAATTACCTCTGAAGCTGTGGGCAGATCGCGTCTCAGCCTTTGGTGTAGCATCAAACACATACACGGGCCGAGAGAAATCTTGAGAAAATGAACTCAAAGTGATCACATAAATCCAATATTAAAATTGTGTTGTTGGGCATCGTTCTTGTTTCGTTTTTCTATTTTGAGATCTAGGGGTCTCACACTCGCTGTGTAGCTGGGGATAAGCCTCAACCTTTGAGTACAGGAAGTGCTGGATTACAGGAAGGCACCTCTGCAATGGGCCACTCAGTGCTGGGGTGGACCCCACTGTTTCCTGTGTGTGAGGCAAGCACCCACCGCACCACATCCTGCCTTGCAGCTCATTTGTTTCTTCTAGCTCAGGTGACACCCCAATGTCACACCTCAGCTCTGTGACTGACACAACACAATTATAAAACAGACAGGGCCAATTCAAGCCTTAAAGTCATATGTTCAAGAAAAGTGCCTCCATACTCCCTGCAAACAGAGACCCAGACATTGTGACAGCACAAGACCTATGCAAGCTCCAGACAGACAGACTCCAGGATAGATGAGAAGACTGATGTGTGATGTTGCCATTTGATGGCCCCTAGGAGAGGAGGAGTTAGTTGGGTTTGTCTATTTGTCTGGCTGTTTGTTTAATGATATGCCTCTGAAGAAGCTGGTCACACCTCAGAGAAGCCCCAAAACAGTGGACAACACTGGACAGTGCAAACTTGACTTGATGGGGAAAGAAAGAGAAGCAGGAGGAGGAAGAAGAAGAAGAAGAGAGAAAAGACAAAAAAGATGAAAAAGACAAAAAATCAGGAGGAGAAAGAGAAAGATAAAAAGATGAAGAAAAAGGAGGAAGAAGAGAGAGAAGACAAAAAAGACAAAGAAGAAAAAGAAGGAGGAGGAAGAGAAAGAAGACAAAAAGATGAAGAAAAAGGAGGAGGAGGAAGAGAAAGAAGACAAAAAGATGAAGAAGAAAAAGGAGGAGGAGATGAAAGCTGGGTGGAAAGAGCTGGGAGAGCTGAAAAGGTGGGAAGGGAGGGGCCAAATACATTCAAACCTCATGTGAAATTCCCAAACAAGCAATTTTAAAATAATTTTAAAAGAGAACAGAGAAGCCAGAATGAAGGCGAGGCCATGCCAGCTCCGCCCTCGGAAGGTGACTGTCGGTGGCCTGAGGCGGTTGCTGCCATTTACCTAGGATCCTCAGAGGCTCCTGCACCATGTGCTGGATGAGCAGGTCCAGGCATCTGGCCAGGTACTCGCTCCCGCCCTGCAGCTCCTTGCCCGGGGAGGTCTTCCTGCTGTCCCTCTCGATGTACATCACCAGCCTGCAGGTTACAGGAGCCACAGAGAGTCTGTCCTAAGTACCACTGAGGCAAGTGTTTCCAGAGGCACGGCCCTAGCCATGCTGACCGGCCAGGCACAGTCAACAGTGTTTACCAGCTGGGACACTCATGCAGAAGAAAGTACAGCTGTGGTAAGTCTCCCCATGTTACAGACACCCCAACTTCAATCGCCTTTGGCCAATGAAAAGACACATTCTCCAAGTGATGATGGTAGCAAACAGAGACATTTGCACACAAGGGCTCTCTGTGTCCCAGGGTAAAGGAGCCTTTACAACCTTTTGCTGGTTGTTAATCTTAAACTTGCAGTGAAGCCCAGGACATTCAAAGGAACTCCACTTCTTTTGGAAAACTATGGACACAGACTCAAAGTGGATACACAGTTTTATTAGCATATCTGTAATGGAAGTTCTGATTTCTTTAAAAACTCGGGTATGTTATGTAAATATGTTTTTGTTTTAATCCCAAGTGTGGGATTTTAGTTTGGGCTTTAGTTCATCCACAGCTCAAACTGTCTCCTGCGGACGTGGTCTTTGCCAGCTTGCAACGATGCCCCGTGTAGCACAGGGAGGGGCATGGTCTAGGACTGAGGGAGATAAATACAATAGCCCATTAGGAGGAGGTGTGCCAGGTAGAGAGACCAGAGAGGGATGGCATGGTGGCCTTGAGAGACTCATGGTGCAGCAGCTTGGAGGAGACAGACAGAGGAGATGCTGGCTGTGTCTGCTGTTGACAGAGATTGACCCCAGAAGACCCACCCACCCTAAGCCCCGGGAGAAGTAAAGGGGTCTGGCCCCCTCTCCCCACTAGCCCTCCCTCTCTCACCTAGGGTTAAAGCGTTGGTGGAAGGAAGGTCGAGGCTTAAATACCACAAATCAAACAGAGTTTAAAAAACGAGCACAATACACATCTTTGTCCGTCAGTTTAAGATGCCAGCTGTGTGCTCATGCCCAGGCCTCTGAGAGACACGCTGTGAGCTATCCTGCTCACTCACGAAGCTCGGTCACGTGTGTGAAGAGACGTGTGTGAAGGGCCCAGTAAGTGTGGCTCGTTTTTCTCCTGGATTCTCTGGTCCTTTGAGTTAGGCACTCAATGGCGGATTGTTCATGTCACAAGCGCCTTACCCGGTCTGTGGCTTGATTGAATTTTTTGTTTTTTACTTTGAGTACAACAGAAGTCTCCACCTTCAAGTTAACAATTGTCAGTGTTTCTTTTAGGACAGAGCTTGTGGGTCCTGTCAGAATTGTGACCTAAGCCCATGGCTGTTATGAGTCTGCTTTGCTGTCTGCGAGATGCCTTCCTGCTTCTCCTTTTCACTTGCAAACATACTAAGTGCCCGCCTGGTCCTGCACAGCGAGACTCAGAGAGAGGTTTATTTTCCTGCTGACATTCACAGAGAGACAACGGCAGTGTGTAAATATGCCAACCTTTCCCTGTGGCTCCCGCCCCTGGCTCCTCGGTTCTCCAGATTTTCTATCCCTCTGGCTCCAAATCCTGGTCCCAGAGTGTCGTCTCTACGCGCGCACCTGTGTGTGGCGCTGTGCAGCCTGCAGAGGGACACTGACATTGCCTCTAGAATGTAGGGAGAGCACCTGGGCCACTTCCACCACAGGCTGGAATCACTCCAAACTGGCTTTTCTCCCTGTCCTGGGAAACCCCTACACCAGGGGCCTTCAACCTGTTAGTCAGAGGCCACCTAAGACCGTCAGAAAACACACATATTTACATTACAACTCATAGCACCTGCAAACTCCAGTCATGAAACAGCAATGCAAGTAAGTCTACGGTTGGGGTCGCAACAGCCTGAGGAACCAACCGTATTAAAGGTGCGCAGCGTTAGGAAGGCCGAGAGCCGCTGCCCTGAATCACAGCTATCCCAGATGTGGAGGGCAGCCACAAGGAGCCAGGGCGCTTATCTTTTGGTAGTCAGAGGATGGCAAAAGCAGCTGTCCCCAAAATCCATACTGCGCACACAAGCACACGTGTTTAGGGATTCAGTCTTATGAGCACGTAGGGTCTACCTGAGTTTTACTTTAGTTTCTGCGTGTGTAGGCGCTGTGCCTGGGTGTGCCATCTGTGCCCAGCACTCACAGAAGCCTGAAGAGCTGGACTGACGGGTGGTGAGCCACGGCATGGGCACTGGGAACCGACCTGGGTCCTCTGCAAGAGCCACGGTGCTGCGCCCACGACTTTCAAGGAGCAGAAAAGTTTCCAGATTTCACTGAACTAAGCTAAAGATCTGCTTCTGTGCTTTTTTTTTTTTTTTTTTTTTTCATTTTTTTTTTTTTTTTTTTTCATCTCCCAGATTTAAACATATTTTCTTCCAGCTGTTTCTGGTTTCTTTGGGGTATATAATTCTTTAATCCATCTGGACTTAACTTTCATATAAGCAGAGAAAATAAATTTTCCCACAGAGTTAGCCAATTATCCAGAGTAAATATTTCTTTTTAAAACAATCTTTCTCTTAAGATCAAAGCAGGTACATTTTTTTTTTATTTCACTGATTTCCATATTAACAGAGAAGCCACAGGAGAGTGGAGGAGAGAAAGCCTGACCCCCAGGGGGCTCTCACACTCAGCAGCTCGAAGCACACCTCACAGTAAGCTTACAGCGCTGTCCATCGTCTCAAGGACTCAAGGACGAGGCCTAGCCCTTTTGTCACTTGTCACCTCGATCTGACTACAGAGACATGTGGAGACAGGTGGACATTTGGGGGCTGTCAGAGAATCGACCTGAGGCTGCCAGCTCTCAGGGCAGGTGGATAAGAGCTGACATCACACAAAACGTGACGAAATGCACACCCTCAAGGGATGACAGGAAGCAGAAAAATGCCCACGAGTACCATAAAGGTTCCCGCAGGCTGAGGACAGGAAGTGCCGTCAGCGGCAGGGTGACCTGCTCGGGCCTGGCTGCCCTGGAGCGGCAGGGCCGGGAAAGGGGAACACTGTTCCACACAGACTATGGCAAACAGGTGTCAGCCACTGTCTTCTCTCTCTGAAAGCAATTTACATCGAGTCAATTTCCCAAGTCTAGAAAAAAAAATCAATTTGTAATGCCTTGAAGGTCTTGTAACCCTTTTAATTTTTATCACATTTATGCACTTATTTTGTCTGGGGGCCTGTTCTCCCCTCCCACCGTGTGGGCCCCAGGAACCGCAGTCATCAGGCTTGGTGGCCAGTGACCTCACCCTCTGCCCCCTCAAACACCTCCCCTGGAGTTAAGACTACCCGGTACCCGCTGCTAACATTGCGGATCGCTGTCCCCCACTCACCCCAAGATGTTTGGTTTGGTTACTTGAGGGGAGGGTTGTTTGTTTTGTTTTGGGTTGCAGGAGTGAAAGGCACGTACATCTTCTCTACTTTTCCCACCTCAGCGCTGGTTTCAGACAGAACAGTGAGTCCGCCTCAGTAGAGAGGACATGGCAGAGCTCATGGCGGCAGGAGTGGGCAGCCAGCCCTTCCCCCACCACAGGCAGAGAGAAGCTGGACCAGAGCAGGGAAGGGTGGGACCCTGAGGGGCCACTGCCACAACGTGCCAACTGTGCCACCACCCAGGGACCGAGTATCAGACCCAGGGGCCATTGGGGTCACCTCACACTCACCACAACCTAAGAATGAGGGAGTCGAGCAAGCGACCCCTCGGTGCCACTGCCTTGGATAATTGATTTGGTCTCATTCTTTGGCTCCTGTTTCGGGTGTTACACAGGTACATGAAAACAGGTATGTTCTGCCAATGAGGGGTCTTCTTTTTCACAATTAGTACAGAACCGTTCCTTCCCTTCCTCTCTTCCTCACACTAGCGAACACCCCCAGTGTCAATCAAATGACTTCTCATAGGATGCCCAGCCATCAGCACTGGCTGTTCCAATGCCCACTGGATCTGGGCGTGGAGCCTCAACCATTCACTTCCACAGGCTGAATATCAAACATGAAACTGCCAAAGTGACAGTGGCACTCACTGGCAGAGACGCTTCCAACTCAGCAACCAGAATCTCCCAGAGTGCCATCTGAAGGCGGTTTGCATTCCCTCCTCTGCCGAGCTGAGTCTCTATCACAGCCAAGAACTAACAGTAAAACAAGTCTAGAGTTTCAGTGAGCCTGATGAGCCCCCAATGGGTACACACGAGGACGAGGGGTGAGGAATGGTGATGCCGTAAGCCCCCTTCACTCCCTTAGCCCTTCACCTGTGACCTGTTCTGCTCCACCGCAGAACAGGCCCCACGAGTCCCCAGGAAGAGCAGGCTCTCCTGAACCCTGTGTGAAAACATGGCTGCCACACCACAGGGAAGGCATCGAAGCTTCCCCCTCCTCCTCCACAGTTCTAGTGCCAGGACCACACCCAAGGTGTGGTCCAGCACCTCCCCCCTGCAAGGATGAAGCTGATAACAGTGGCCTGATCCTCCTGGGCAGGAGGGTGTCAGTCATGGGCTGCCCCTCCATTCCCCACCCAACGGCAGTGCCATCTCCCAGTCTGCCTAGGTACTCCTTGCCACTGGCCCTTCTAGAATCCAAGGGCAAACAAGCACCGGCAGAGAGCACCGGCATCAGGAAGAAGCCTGCTCCAACTTCCTGGGTTGAAGTCGCTCCCCCAGTCCCACCGGAATCCCTGGCGGACTGTGAGGTCCCCAGGACCTGCTCTCCAACTCCTGGTGACTGGCACCGGCATCCTGGGTCTTTGGGCTGGCTCCTACAGTTTATTTGGCCATCCCTAAAGGGGCCACCTCTCTGCGGTTCTGCTGGCATTTCCAGTTCTACGGCTCACGAAGTTACAGCAACAGCTGAAACGCTCCTGTCTCCTCCATCAGTAGCTCTGCTGTGAGCTGCCATCCTGGTCTTCCTCCTTCAAAGCTGCCTGCTCATGTCACAGCTCGGTGACTGGCCAAGTGCACCAGCACAGCTCAGGGGAGGATAAGGTGAGTGCTGGTCCCACAGCCTGGCCCAGCGGCCATGCCAGGCCTGTTCTGGATTATGCGGCCTCCACACAGGAGCGGCCACGCTCCAGGGTTCACACTTGGGCCATCTCGGCTGCAGAGTGCTGCACTCCTGCCGAGGCCACCCTGACCCCTGCACCGCCTTCAGGACACCATCTGTGCACTGCTAGAAGCTTGAGAATTGCACGCGGGATTTTGCAGCCCCAGTGCTGTCCTGGGAGGGGGTCACAGAGCAGGGTCCTCCTCAGGAAACCCACCATCTTCCTGAGGCCGCCGCAGCTGCTTGGAAGAGACACCCCTCACAAGAGGGGTGCAGGGTCCCAGCTGAACATGACCTCAGGGTCTTGAAGTGGTCTGCAATCCCACCTCTTAGGAAGGCTGAGGCATGAGGGTCATGACTTCAAGGCCACCCTGGGCTGCACAGTGACTCCCTGGGCCCAGTGGAGCAGAGCTGAGGAGCTGAAGGAGTGTTGGTGAGAATGGACTGAGCATACTGAGAACTTTGGGGCCCAAGACAGCACTTCCTGTGACAGGAAGGGGCATGGGGAGAAAGGCAAGTGTGGTGGCTCACACCTGGAACTCTAGCCCTGGGAAGGCATCATTGTCCCTAGGTCACCAGGCTGCTGCTCTGGGGCCTTCAGCTTCTCACCCTAGAGGCTCACAGGCAAACCCCTGGTCCCCTGGGACACAAAGCCCACCAGCTTGAGAGTGTGCCCCGGAGGGCCCCACCCCCAAGCTGGCACCTCCCCTTGCTCAGGGTCATCCCTGGGTTTATAAGCTGAGGACAGCAGAGAGGTGTATTCCACTCTTGGCAAGCTTTAGAAAATGTATTTAGCAAAAGCAAACACATGAGGGCCGATAAGTAGTCTATACAACAAACCCAGACAGACTCCCATCAGACAGACAGACCTCTACCCCCAACAGACAGACCCTGGACAGACAGACCCCCGACAGATACCCCTGACAAACAGACCCAACACACGCCTCTGCCAGACAGACACACCTGATATACAGATATCCCTAACAGACAGACCCCCAACAAACAGACAGCCCTGACAGACGCCCCTGACAGACGCCCCTGACAGACGCCCCTGACAGACGCCCAGAGGCCCCACCTTGCTTGGCAGCTGAGCAGCAGCATGTCGCGGTTGTGAATCAGGATGTACAGCAGCACCAGGAAGGCCTTGGCTCTGATGGGAGAGGACGGACTGTCAAGTAAGCGGATGACTGTGGACACGAAGTCCTGCGGAAGACATGTTGGAAAGGTCAGCGCTGCAGCTCAGACCGGAGTGGCCAAGCTGGAGGCGGGAGACAACACCTCGCCAGCTAGGCTCGCATCCTGAGTGTGCTCCAAACGCAGGCGTTCCACAGTCTCACTGAGACCTGAACTTAGCCAAGCCGTTTCCTTTCATGAGGTCCCGCTTGTTGGCTGTTGGCCTTAATTCCTGGGCAGATGGAATCCTATTTCCTAAACCTCTCTCTTGTAGGACGGCTATGAGAAAGGTGGAGGGCATGGATATGAAAGGAACTAGAGGGAGGAAAGAGAAGAGAGAAGTGAAATAATTACATTTTAATTACAATTTTAAAGAAAAAGCTAAATCTTCAAATGCTGAATGATTTGCACAAACTCTGAGCTGAGTTCAAATCCAACCCAGCTGACAAACAAAGCCTCAAGTACAAAGCGGGAAGTACCTCAAGCACACAACAGGAAGTGAGGCAGAAGGTGGATACGCCAGCTGGAGGCCAAAGGAGCATGCATATTTGAGTCTCAGCAAGGGCAAACAAGTCCACACAGACACTGAGCTGACATAATTCTGGAATTCATTAATCACACTTGGTGACAGACACAAATAAAAACCCTCCACTCGCCTAACATTCCTTACTTAAAGGCCTAACAACAGTGAGCAAGGGCCGCCGTTGAGTGACACTTATCAGACAGAATGAAACTTTGTCAGGTTCATATGCAAATAGGAAACTCTTTCTCTCTCTCTCACACACACACACACTCCAAACAGTCAAGTTCCCGCTGTTTTGTGCTGGAACAATGGCTGCACAGTACGGGAGCAGCAAGAGCGAGCCGGAAGTTTGTTTTCTGTGGGAACGTTATTAGGGTGACCAGCAGACTCAGCCTGCAGTTTGGACACTGCATCCACGCCTGTTTCTCCTCTTGGAGTTCTGGGTTATTCTCAAGGAATATTCAGTCATGTAAACAGAATTAAAGAGGAATGGAGCTCACATTTTGGGAAGGTCAGAGCACTGACAGGCGTGGTTAGGGACAGACACACAGAAGCTCCTAAGTGGTTACCTCCACAGGACAGGCTCAGGTCACAAGCAGCCACCTACATGGAGCACCCCTCACATGCTCACCCACTCTCACAGTCATCACCATGACAGCAGAGCACGGAACAGCCCCGACTCCTCTCTTTCCCACCATGTCCCACTGCACGCTCTCTGTCCTCCTGAGCTCAAGCTCTCTGTCCTCCTGAGCTCACGCTCTCTGTCCTCCTGAGCTCAAGCTCTCTGTCCTCCTGAGCTCACGCTCTCTGTCCTCCTGAGCTCACGCTCTCTGTCCTCCTGAGCT